GAGAGAGAGAGAGAGAGAGAGAGAGAGAGAGAGAGAGAGAGAGAGAGTGGAGTCAGATATCTACAGGTCAATATTAATGTATCAATATGGACAGAAATTCATCCAGAGCCAAATAATAATTGTGATAATTGACTATCATTGCCATCATTATTTAGTCTTTAGTGATAACGGATCTATCTGTTTGTAATATAGACTAAATTATGTCATGCACAGATCTATAAACATGAAGCTAGTGGCTGAAGCTGCTGGTCGCAGAGCAGCAGACAAAACTGAGCGGACAATGACCTTCAATAGCTTTAAAATGGCTTTGCTGCCCATTTCACCCCTCTCTCTCTCTCTCTCTCTCTCTCTCTCTCTCTCTCTGTCTCTGTCTCACTCACACACACTGACGCGCACACACACAAACACGAGAGGGGAGAGGGAGAGCTGGAGAGAGCTAATACAGAGTGACAGGTCTTTCATGCAGTAATGGTGATGGTGAAAAGAGAGATCCACTCAACCCACACTGCCACACACATTAAGTCAAACACAAACGCAGACACAGACAAACAAAGGAAGCTAACATACGCCAACACACACACACACACACACACACACTATTACAGAAAAGTGGCCACAAAGCAACCACAAGTTACAATTTAATCTCAATTGTTTAGACCAGCAGTCAGGCTTTATTCAGCAGAAAGGACACACACCTACACACACGCGCACACACACAAACACACAGCTCTCAGTCGTAGAAGTCAGACAGCAGAGTGCTCACGCGTTTTAGATTTATTGACCTGTGGATGTTTGATGTTTGACTTCCTAATGTAACACCTCTCACTCTGACTCTCTTTCTCTTACTGGCACAGTCACACATTATTATTTACTACTTGCAGCTTTGACATATTGCTTTCAAATTCTGTCGTCCTGGATTAGGTTCTGATAGGAATAATCTGATAGATTATAGATTGTATGCTTTCTCTATTTAATTGATCTCTTGTTGATCAGAAACAACAAACTGGCTGTTGCTCTAAACGTATTATTAGCACACCTACAACAGCTCTTTCCCTCACTTTACTCTCTTTTTGACCTTGACCAAGTATCTTCTAAATTCTCTTAATTGTATAACAAAATATTTGTATATTACAAACCAGATTTTAATTGGAGTTTTACTTGCCTTTAAGTGAACTTACTTTAAATTACAATTCATTCTAATATTTTTTAATGCTATTTCTTTCGTCTCGGGCGGGTTATGATAAACAATTACAACCTTCATGCATACACATATGCCAACAAACACAGCCAGTCATGCACAAACACATACACACATACAGCACTGATCAATTGTTGCCTTCAGGCTGTGGTGGCTTGCCGTGACTGAGGAGGGAGCCTGGTTAACATCCAGTGGTTCACCGCAGTGCAGTGTGCATTCACTTACAATAGTTCCCTCCATCACAGAGACCAGCCAGAAAAACACTCTTCCATTATAAGTGCATGCTCACCATTCACATCAAAATGAGGGCTCATCTTTCAGTCTGTTCTAATTATGTGATTAAAAAGAAATATATATATAGAAAAGATAATGAAACATTTAACAACAAATAATATAAAGATATAAATTCAGAGGCAGATAACCAGAGGGGGTGAACAGGTTGTAATGAACCCATGTTTGAAGTTTTATTCATGTTTAGGGGAAGGCGAGTGGCAGATGTCAACACTTTCAACAGGGATCTTAATCACAACCGCTATTGAATTATGTAACTCAAGATTATACAGCATCAGTTCCATTGAAGCATTAAACAGCATTTGTTTTTATCCATTTTTTGTCTTTACAAAGATGGTCATGTGCAAGAAGTCCACGCTTCATGCAGAAGCAAGCACAGCTACACCCTTTTATGTAATCATGTAGAGGCAAAGAAAAAAGCTGGGGGTAGTAGAGAGGGGAAAACAAAGAGGTACAGAGATGAAAAGGGAAAGAACTGCCGCAGTTTAAGAGGCAGCGAATGATTATCAAATAGTTCTAATAAACATGGAAATAAGTAATGTAAAGGAAGATACAGAACAGCTGTCCACAGTCACAAAGGTCATGATGGGGCCATCAGTAGTCAAAAGGTTACAAACATGGATTTAAACCATGAAGGTTTAGATGCCTATTGGTCGGAAATCTTCTTCAACGGCTACTGCTGAGATGCCCTTGAGCAAGGCACTTAACCCCCAAACTGTAAAAGCAGAACCAACAACAGAAGGATGCAGTTACAGTGGGCTTCACCTCGATACCAATCGTGCCAGTGCATAAACAAAGTGCAGGGCCGTGATGAAGATCCACATGCTTGCGCAACGAAACCCTGCATGAGGGTGGAAATATGATGATATCTCCATGATCTCACTTTATGTTCTCCACCGTATAGTGTGTGAAATGTTCCTCGCACAAATCCTCTGTAGGACATCAGTGTGTTTCCCTCTCTCCAGCATCACAGTGATAATGAAAACCAGCCATGACACAACGACACAATGGTTTTATTCTCATTACAGAGATATATCGTATCGATGTGTCCCTGTGCATGATGTGCCTTAAAAACAAACAAACTAAATCAACTATTCTACTGTTTTTGATACGCAGGTCCTGCTTGTCCGCCCAAGATTACTACTCTGCATCGTGGAGATACTGTACAGTATTTAAGAGCGACTTGATCTGAACATTAAGGTTCAAAAGCATCTGAAAATATATTAATTACTACAAAATGAACACACAACATGACAAGTGGATGAAAAAGTAGGATAAAACATCCCACAATGTCATACGCAGCCTACTACAATGTGATGTTGAAGGATCGATTCATCAATTAGTCCATTAAAAAAATGAATCAGCACTATTTTGAAAATAGTTTTAGTCTATCAGAGCAAAATGCCAAACATATGGTGGAGGATGTGTTTCTTTGTCATATATAGTAGAAAACGTTTGGTTTTGGACTGTTGGTTGAATAAAACAATCTGACTAAGTAAATTACGTTGAGCTGTGGGCAATTACATTTGCCACTTTTTCACTATTTTCTGAAATTTCACAGACAAAACAATGAATCTAGATTAATAAACAGATCAGGCTTATAAAAATTTGATGCAGTCCTAAACACAAGAGAGCTCAATATCATGTTTTTATGTAAACATATACATTTTCAGATACTCTAGAAACTTTTAGCACAATGCACCATCACAAATGAGAACCGAAAATATTGGAATTAAAGAATGGCCTATTTCGTCCATGTCCTGAGGACTTGCGTTTCATAAACAGCGGTATTGTCCTTTGAGCATTAAGTGCAAATGTTATTAATGCTTCCATCTGTGAGTTTTCCAGATATATAAATAACATTGAAGCTTTTAAAAAGTACTTCCGACCAGTCTTTAAAGCATCCATCTTGCTCCATGTGCAGTTCAAAACGGCATGTCTTGTTGCACCTGCCATTCACCGTGACAGCTTCAGTCCAACTCATCTGTGCTGCACCATCAACTGACACACAGTGCAGATCAGTGACGAAGGAAGAGTGCATGAAAAAGTAGTGACCTGGGCCCGATCTGATCCAGGGTCAGTGCTGAACAGTGACCAGAAGAGGGCATCAGACCGCCACATCAGTGTCGGGTGGGTCATCCTTCCAACCATCGCTGTGTCGTTGGTTGTAGTGCGCCTGTTGCAGAGTCTTCATCCAAAGCAGAATGAGTCAGACATTTTCTTAATGTGACTTGTGCCAAAGCTTCATTCATAATCTACAACAGCTATATAGAAGTCCTCATGTGCAATTTTATGTACAAGAAATTTAGAAATTGGTATCTTAATCAAACATGTAAAACATAAAGTAGATTTCTCCTTATGATATTTCAGAACATAGTCCACTTCTGTCTTTTTTTTACAAAGATTAACAGCATTCACATATAGTGTTCTTATTTCAGAACTACTCTATTGTTACCTAATACTTTTTAATTATTAATAATAACAATAATAATACTTTGACATTGTGAGTTCTGAAACTGGATTGATGATGTAAGAAATTCAGAGCAGACAAGAATATATTTAACCATATTTACCTTTTGGTAAAAAGGTACGTAGTCTGTGTATTTTTATGAATTATGTATGTATAAAAACTATGTGCATCCTCAGTCTTCGTGACCAGTGTTTTGCATTGTACATTTCCAAATGCATACAAATTTCCTGCAGCACTGCAGTATCTTCGCATTATACCGCAGCCCCTCGCTCTCCCTGCCTCCCTCTCCCTCCCCTATATCTCCTCTGTCACTAAACCTAACCTCTAAAGTCTTTCTAGGAATCACTTTTTTACCTCTTTCCATCATGACAAACTGAATTCCTCTTTTTCTTTTGCAATGTTCTCTTGTTTTTATTTCCCCCCACCCATTGCACTTTCTGGCATATCTCCACAATCCTGTTAAATCTCCAACACCTCCTTTGTCCTTGGTTCATTATAGGTTCAAACGCTACATTTTATTATGTCTGACCACCTCTCTCTCCACTTAATCTCACATGATCTGTGCTCCAAACTCAGTATTTACTCTCATCCACATCTAAATGTACAGTATACGTGATTATGAGGAGTCAGTGTCTCTCCTTCCCTCCCTCGTGCTCCCTCTTCCTAACAGGGGGAGGCGCTCATGTGCATGTGAGTGTGATAGTGAGGAGGAGGTACTGGCATCGGAGGCATGGCCATGGGAAGAACTTGGCCTTGGGGATGTGAGGCATGCGACCTGGTGAGGGTGTGTGTGGTGGGGTAGCCAGCAGACTGCGGGGGCATTTGGTAGCTCCCTGCGGAAGAAGACCCAGAAGGCGGGCTGCCCTGCCCTTGGAGGCTGCTTTTGGGGGGCACCGGGGGTGCCTGGTTGAGCTGGATGGAGATGTCGCTGGAGGCTTCGGAGGTGCTGCGGCCTCGCTTCGGCGGAGGCCAGGATGATTCTGGGTGGAGGAATTGACCGCTGTAGTCGCTACTCTCAGACAGGCGGGGGCGGTAGAGTGCAGGGTGGGGGCGGTACATCTCTTCCTCGGCGTAGCGCTTCATAAACAGATAGACTGACATCACCCCGGCCCCCTGAGACAGCGAGTGAGAAAAGAAGCGGGATGAGATGAGGGGGGTGATAAGATGCCACAGGAAGAGAGGGACTTAGCTGCGTAAATAAACTTCAGAGAAAAATACATTTTCAAAGAAGTAGTAACAAGTGATGGCTGGGGAAATTAAATTAAAAGTGACTGATAGAGCAGAAGTGTTAAAAGGAATATGTATTAAAGTAAAGAGGTGAAAGTATCAGCCTTTGATTTAGAAAGATGAGGGTACGCTTTAAGTTCCTTTAAGCTCATATATAACAGATTGAAAGGAAAAGAAAGATGAAAGGAGGAGACATGAGTGTGGAGAACAGATAGGGAGAAAGGAGAGAAGAGGGGAGGAGGTTAGTGTCCACTGCACCACATTAAGAGCAGTGCTGCTGCTGATAATGGGAAAGAGGCAGGAGGAGAGTGTGGGGGGGGGGGGGATGAGCAGAGGATTCTCATGATACCTCTCCACGCATGGATGCACACATGAACACACACACAAACCATTGATGCCTCACCATATCTACAGAATTCTAATCATCTTACCTTCTTACACTCAGCATGCAACACTTAGAACTGAAAATATATTCTCCATCTGTAACATATGTATGCAAACAGACACTCTCTCACTCTCTTTCACATATTTCTTCCCACGAACAAAAACAAAAACACACACACACACACGCACACACACTCACACACACACACAGCCCAGACCGACCTCTTTGAGTAAGAAGGAAGAGGCAGCGAAGGCGAAGGACCAGCCATAGTGGTAGTTGAAGAACTGCTCGGGCTCCCTGGGCCGGTTCATCACCTCATCATTAATACTGGAGATGTAGAGCACCAGGCCCACCACCAGACTGAGGCCTGCACACAGCACATTAACAATGACAGCGAGTCAGAGAGAGCCAGAGAGTCAGATACAAGAAAGAGCGAGGAGGTCATTATATGGCGATCCAGACAGCTGCAGTAGTGTGGCGAGGGTTTAGGAGACAAAGAGCGAGAGAGCGATGTGATGTGAAGTGACCAGACCAAGAAATTAGCCTCCAATATGTTACATTAAAAAATAGATGGCAGAGAGTATGTATGTATCATAATGACAGATAAAGAGATAAAGATCAATGACTTTTAGAGAGAAATGCCTCATGGAAACAAAGCAATGGAAATAATATTAATGGAAAACATAAAAAATGTATATTACAAATTTAAGTTAGACCTTCTGATTGTAATTTCATTGAAATGTAATTTCTAGGTAACAGTGCTGCCTGCAGATTTCCATTTAAACTAAAAAAATGTATTTCCTTTACTTATCCTGAGAACAAAGTACCTTTAATTTAATTCTCATATTGCAATGTCATATTTTGATTACTGACTGAGCTTTTACATTTATAATTTGGTCCTTTTTGAAAATCACAATAATGATATGTTTAAAAAAATAGAGGGATAAACACTGAAAGTACGTAAAAACAAACAAAAGTGGCTTGACACAGTTTTAATACCATTTAGTGGCTACATTCAGCATCCACTGTAAACTTCAGTGTGTTAGAGGACTCTAATCATCGTATGGAAAACCAGAATAAGCTTTCAGTGACCCTTTTCAGCCATATACAACATTAAAACCCCTTCCTCCAAGAACACTCTTAGAAATGTTAAATGCATGAGATACAACATATGGCCAACATCAAATAATCAATATTCAACGAAAACTGCATGCTGTAAGCAGCAAAATGTGTATTTTTAGCCTTCCCTGCAAAATTAAAATGTACCACCCGGCTGTCAAGCAGTTATGTCCTTCACAGTAAACGTCTGGTTTGAGAGGCTGTGTTGTCAATTTAAAATTGAAAACCACAGAATATGCAGAAACCATGCTGCTGGTAATCCTGCAGTGGAACTACATCTTTATCTAAATAAGTAACAACATAAAAGTTGGGGGAAACACAGATGTGCACATGCACACTTAGTAGATGAAGGAAACCAAAGGGTGTGCATGTGTGAGACAAAAAGAAAGAAGAAATAGATTCTACAGTCGACAGGTACAAATGCATATGCAAGATGTCTGTTGGGTAAGAGAGAAATATCAACCTCTAACCATGCTCGAACAGCTGGGGCATCTTGCTCGGAATTCTGTAATATCACTCAGAACATGACCGACCCAAACTACAATATTTACCAAACACCGTGTCAGTGATGCCAGCAGAATAGTCTCACATCTCTCAGTAGTCGACAAACACCAGAACATCCACAGTGACTAAGACTACTGAGGGATACAATCTGAATGAAGGAGTAATGAGAGGAAGGATAGCGACTGAGAGAGTGGTGGGCAGAAAAAGCTATGAAAACTGAGAGCTGAGAGGCTGGGTGAATGAGAGAAGGGGGAGGCTGAGGGAGGAGGGGTGAGTAGGGAAGGCAGGAGGAAGGCAGTGTTTAGAGAGAGAGGCTCAGTGCAGCAGAATATCTAACCGCTGAAAAGCAATTTGATACACTTGCCCCTTATTATCACCCTATTATCAAAAAGCACTGCGACACTTCCAGCACAGGCTATAAACATTACATAACGGCGGTTACATAAAACCTATTATTCTGCTACACCCTTTATCAGCAAGTCCCCGCCACGGCAAAGTCAGGAGCCGTTGCTGCAGCTCCCGTTTGATGCTCCTCTAAGCTCTGCAGCGCTGCTTCCACGTCAAACATGTCAAGTGAATCAGCCTTTAAAGAACATGAGCTCCAATTTGGCACCTGACAGTCTTTACACACAGAGGACAAGAAACGGGAGCATTAGAGCCACCTGCTGTTCAACAAGGTTAATTACACTAATGCAGAAAATAAAGATGAGAGAGCTGCTCATGGTACTGTGGGAATATCGCGTGTATGCTCAGAATTTTGACAATCCTTGAGCGTAATCCAAAAATTCATAATTCCTCTCTTAAAGCCTGTTTAATTCCAAAGTCAGAAGAGCAGGAAGCCAATCTAGTCACCTTTGCTGATGACAGCCTACACACCTGCATCAGACACTAAAAATAGAGCCGTGATGGAGTGCGTCCGCGTGTGACACAGGACACACCAGGCTGCTGTCATCAATCACTGAGTGAAGGTGTGGTGACAGCGGGACATGAGTAATGGTTCCCACCTGAGAGGATGAAGAAGATGCCGGACACAAAGGCCAGGATGGTGCGCTGAGGCCGGATGTGTCCGATGTTGCTGATGACGAAGGCAGTGAAGACGAAAAGCAGCGACACCATCGGGAAGGGCGTGGCTGTCCGCACCATCTCTGTGGGGAGGAGAGGTCACCGTGTCAAACAAAGCTGATGTAATGTGTCCTTAAACGGCTGAGAGAGGTGAATGATAATGTCTCTGGAGCTTATAAAGTATTAGTTAAGACAATCAGAGGCGGTAGAATCTAGGATATTAAGTATGCTCAGTGAAGTAAAGATGCCATGACATTCATCACTAAAAAGGGGAGATTGGAAACAGCATTCCTTTCTTACAGTGGTCTGCTTTTTACTTTTGGTATGAACAAATTTCTTTAAAGTGTCTAATTGCTTTTTAACTATGGGAAACAAAGTTATGATGGAAAACGTTGCTACATAAATATCAAAATGGTTGTAAATATTCAAAAACAGTTGAATCAATTTTAGAAATATTTAAAATAACAGTCAAAATAACAATAATAATAATCATAATAATAATATTTTCTGGATCAAAGATCACAATTTACATTTTCTCTTTCAGTTGTATTTAACTTTAACCCGTTAAATTAGTTAAAAACATTATCTTTGTTCATGATGATGATCTTTCTTAAATCATTTTAATGAAGTTCATCTGATTGCTGTTAGAAAGGCTGCAACTAACAATTATATTCCCAGAGTCCAAGATGAAGTCTTTAAATAACTTATTTTGTCTGACCAAAGATAATCAGTTTCCTGTGATATAAAGCAAAAACTCTAATATTACGTTCAAAGTTCAGTACCCACGATCAACCAGCAGGGGGACTCTGCAGTTACTCTCAAACAGCAGATAACGTGTAATGTCACTGGGCTGCTGTATGTTTTACTCACTGAGGATATTTGCAGTGTTTTCAGTGGTGATCTCTATATCGGGTTCAGTGAAGTACTCCGATGCGACACATCTCCCGTTTTCCGCTCCTGAGAGGAAAACACACACACAAACAAAGAGGAAAATGTTGGGGTTTGCTTTCAAAGTCAGTGATGCATGAGGAAGCAAAACAAAACCCAGAAAAATAAAGAAACATCTCTGGATCTCTGCAGTCCTGCCCACAGGTAACGATCATGTTTTGTGACAGCTATGATTCTGGAGGCCAGAAGCTCGCTTTCTCTCTTTTTTCCCCTTGCTGCTCTCTCACTCGGCTGCTTTATCTGTTTCTGTGTGTTTGTCACTGAGATGATGTGGACATATGCACACACACGTAGCAGCATTGTTTGGATGGTTGTGTGTGTGTGTGTGTGTGTGTGTTTGTGTGTATCCGTGCACACAAGTATCTGTCTTCTACAGTCATCCTTTAATTCTTTTTATTTGAATATGTTGTTGCATATACCTACCAGCCACAAAGCAAACTCTCCAGAGGCCTGAATGCAGCGCCATCTTCACCTCCATGCTCTGGTTCTGCTGCAGGATGATGCCCTCCACCATGATCAGCCAGTAGTCTGTGGACACGGCCACCCCCACCAGAAGCAGCCCGCAGGCTCCGAACACTGTAGACAGGATAGTCAGCGCACGGCTGCTGCACGAACTCATCTGGAGGGCGAACGAGTGAGAGGAGGAATTAGACGTCAAAACTGCGGAGACACTAATGTAGGTAAATTTGCACGGGGGGTGGGGGGTTGTGACGGGAGGTAATTTAAAACGGGGGAAACACTGAGACGGACATTTGACGTGCACACGTGCAAACAGCTACTGGCTATCTCCCTGTCTCGCTCTGTTGTTGCTAAAGATGAGTTAGTGACACATCCGTGGCAACCAATCCTGTTAAAGGTCAGAGAGGAGCCAATGCAACAGATGATGACTTCACGGTGAACCACTGAACTTAGGAGAGGACTTTAAAAAAATGGAGAGATGGATAGTAAACACACGCACACACACAGATCAGGAGAGGGAGGAGAGGTCCTGTGTGACTCAAACATGGTCTTTCTGTGACTTAGTTCTGGCTGACTGGGAAGGACTTCACTGCAAATCCATTGAGCATGCTGCCTGTATGCATTTGTGAGTTTCTGTGCATTTGTGTGTGTGTGTGTGTGTGTGTGTGTGTGTGTGTGTGTGTGTGTGTGTGATTGTTCAGACAAAATCCTCTGCTTAATTTGGAGCGCAGTTCAGTATCATCAGCTTGACAAATAATGGAGAAGAAATGTATGTGGAAAACACAGAGCGGGGCTGGTGTTTACTGTAATCAGCCTCATTTTGCTTACTTATTCAACACATTATGTGATACACTGGCAGGATCATTACTGTTATGCAGCTGACCTCATGTCCTCCTTTTTAGGGGGTTAGATTCGCTCTTGTTTTGATTATTTTCAGACTTTGTCTTTCTCTCTTTTGTTCTAATTTACAGTTTGTTCTATCTCTGGAACATACACTAGATTTTAAAATATGTTTGAATCCTTTTTGTTTTTACTTATCTTATTACATTAGACACTACTAACTAAAACTATAGGACCACCTTTAGTTCTTTCAGGAGGAGCTTGACCCACAATGGTAGCATCTCTCAGTTGCTGAATGTGTGCTGTTGTTTCACGCTGTATCTCACAGAGTGTACAGGCCATTAAAGTACACTTAAGTGACTTTAAAGGAAATGTGACACCCTAAATAACTGGCAGGAAGAGCCAAATTATGGAAGCATTTCACCTGCTCTGCAACAGGGTGTAAAAACACACCAAAACTGCAACAGTGGCCCAATGTGTACTAAGAAAACTTTACCAACGTCATTACACAACACTGTGCTGTTTGCAGCCTGAGATGTGGACAACATGCATAGAATGGAGCTTTTACACCAAAGTCTGACCCTTACTGATATTTGTTGTAACAGGAAATGTTTTTTCAGTCCTCTCTTGTCCAGTTTGTAACTACTCAGGCTTCACCATCTTGTTGTTATAGCTGACGGGAGTGAGGACAGGCATGTTCTTCTGCTGATGTAACACAGCTGTTGCTTCAAGGTTTGAAAAGATGTGGGTTTGAGCTTTTCCTCCGCATATCACAGTTGTGCTGAGCTGTTTTTTTTTGCACATTTGTGGCCCTGCCTGTTTGATTGTCATTAATAAAAATGCTGACATTGCTGCAGATGACCAGATCCATTTTTGTCGCTTCTTGTATCATTCTCTATAAATCCACATCTGTGTATTATTACATACATAACATATAGTCTAACAGACACTCGTCACTGTCTTGTGGAGTGAACCATTTGCGTACCAATGTATGGTAAAAGTACATCACGTTTAGGCCAACTAATTAATTCAACATTGACCAATCATCAGGCACCGAAGAGCGCTTTGATGAATGAATGCCAAATTAATGACTTGAACATGAGAACCACTTTATTCTTCTTCTGGTCTTTCTTTGTATGTCAACCCTTTGAGTCTTTAAACATCAGAGTTATAATAGATACAGTCATGCTGCTGGGGAATAGACTCTTAAAGATTAAGCTTGGCCTCATCTTATCTGGACGGCCATTGTGTGAGACGTGACCACTATAGAAGTTGCTTCAGTTTCTATGCAGCACCGGGGATGAATAGAGCTTCTTTTGTTAACAACAGAGCTGGCTGGTGGTAAAGGGTATACGCAGCAGAGAAATCCTCTGAGAAATGACACGTTTGGGCATGTTGAGGCTAAGAGAAGCAGAGAGTGAGTTACTAATTTTATGGACAGATTTCAGGGGGAAAAGGATGACCAACCACGAAGAATCCATCCAGTTGCACAAACAGGACGGATTAAAGATAGAAAATCAAAAGCAAAGTGACACGATTTACAACTGGCAGGATGAATCCATGTGAGGGTACAACTGAAGATTTGAATGAATTCCTAAGTTTCACACCAAAGTTTCTTTATTTCCTTATTGTTTTCTCCTTTAATCAGAGGTTGTGAATCATATGACAAAGTGATCACTGCTGCTGCTGACATTTGACTGTTGGACAAGAGTTTTAGCCAGTGTGACTGAGAGCTTGAGGTAGTCTCCTTAAAATCAAAAACAACTCACTGAGATGACATATGAAATAACTAAAGGCACACAAGTGTGTGTGTGTGTGTGTGGGGGGGGGTATATAGAGACGAGCAGAGAGGAGTGGGAATGAACAATCACACCTTGGAGGATGTGCCAAAGTGGTCAGGAATGAGTGAGAATCAATTGGAGTTGCAACCCAGCAGAGTGGATGTGCCCGAGTGGCTCTTCCAGACTTGTTCAGCACCACGGACAGCACCATTATCTCTCTCATAGACTGCACCGTCAAACAGAAAACATATGAAATACATCTTGCTGGTTCATAATGGATTTGGACACAAATAAGAGGGAAAAAAATCACCTCTTCACCGCCAATGTATTGAGCCCACATCATCCCCACCAAAAAAAATCCACTAAAGGGCTGTTGCAGTTTATGGAGACCTTTCTACAGTTAAGATTGAACGGAAAAAAATTCACTGTTAGATTTGTGATAACGATCCCATTTTAGCGCTCTGAGACAGGCCCCTCAGCTCCCTCACCCAGAAAGTAATGAGCCAATTGAATTGGTTAGATAGGAGCCACAAGGGGGACAAAAGGTTTAATTCTCTCCAATCTGTCACAATCTACAGACTGACATCACCTCTAAGCCTCACAGGAAAGAAAGACACC